AACTATTTAGGGTCCCAAAATATTATTGTAAGTGCACAGATTTTCAAAGTTAATAAAAAATGCCTGCCTCGGAAAAGATTTGTGTAGTAGTGAAAATCTACTCTTGTTTGTTATTTTACATGCCAAATTTAAGGCAAATATAGATATTTAGATTTTGAAACCTATTAATCTGGATTCAAGCTCTTGACTTAACATACATACTCACATTTTTCTAGATTTATTTCATGATTTAACTATGCTATTTTTTCAATGATAGGCAAAGTGACCGTTGGCAGCGAGATACATGTGTTGACTTTATCAGTCTTGAGAGGTTTGGGATGTGTGCTTCTATAGGAGTGTATGCGTGTGCGCGTGCGCGTTCGCGTTCGTGTAGGCTTGTGTTAGTACTGTGATACAAAATTAAAAAAAAAAAACAAGTACTTCTGTGATCATAGAGGTTGATGTTTGGTTGTCTGGGTTATGAGTATCTCTAGCAATACCCACCAGGGGCTTCTCGAACATTCCACACTGGTGCACCTTTCTTCAAGTCTTCCGTAAATCCGTATGGTTTGAGAAGATTAGCACATGAATTGCTTGTGTGGGCCCGGCTGCTACCGAACCCAGAATTGCTTCGCTCACATGATTGCTGACACTTTGACAAAACTGTGATGAGAATAGTTCTTCCTGTGCTCATCCATGTGTTTAGTCTCTCGAAATCTGAGAAATTCGTTCAATAGATCGATCAAGCTATGCAAGGTCTTCTTAAGTCGTAGCTATAACAAAAATGATATGCTAGGAGTATTTATTAGTTTCAAGTTTCCCCACCGAGAAATAACAAGTGTGTTTGAACCATGAAGGTTTCAAGCTGCGCTTGTCAATCGACTGTCACACACATGTAATTAGTAGTTTATTTAAATGCGTGGAGGCTAGACCCGTACCAAACCCTTCGTAAAATTTCTCTCATAAGATTTGTTTGGTCCCTAAATAATGTGCTAATTGCCTCATTTCTAATTCAAGACGTGTGGAGAGGTTGAGATCACGTGGATCGACACAAACTAGCCCGAACACGCGGGCTTAGGAAGCAGCGCGTGATATACGGAACATATTTTTTGAACATTAACAAAAAGCGAATAAAAGAATACAGAACTATGGAACACAGTGATTATGAACAACACCAAACAGCGTTAAACAACGACCGAGCGATTTATTCCCTGTAGAGGGACGCAAGAGTTTGTATATTCCAGTGTATTATTTTCACCGTTAATGAAAAATAGCTGCACATGCAGCGCAAGAGTTTGTATGTTCACAGCGGCGGATCCAGAAAATATTTTAGGGGGGACTGAACAACACTGCTGCTTGATCTTAAATCTCAGCCCCCCTACACTATGTAATTTGCTTTTAAAAATTCATAGAAATTATACTGATAATTTGCACCTTTTTCGGTTTGGGTAGCCCCCCCCCCCCACCCCCACTGCTGGATCCGCCCCTGTATGTCCAGATAGTGTATAATTAGGTTCAAAGATACGCCTTCGCGTGCAAGCATAATGAAGTGTTGCACCGATTAAAAACGTGATTTGGTCAACTATTTATTTATTCTGACATTATCAAGGCCTTAATATATCTATCTATCTATTGATTCATAATGTCACAGTTCCATTAGGATAAAGGATTCTTCATTCGCATGTATGGCGCATGTAATTTAAAAATAGATATTTCTTTAAAAAGCGGTGGGAACAGTTTTTTAAGGAAAAAAAAACTCCGTTTGTGCATGTTCTGCTCACTACTAGAGGATAGAGCATCACTGTTTGTTAAGAACGACTAGCCCGAACACGCGCCTACGCTGCGTGGGATTAGAAAGCAGTGCGTGATATGTGAACATATTTTTGAATAGTAACAAAAAGGGTGACAGTGTTACGAGGGCATTCTTGTACTCGTAGGTAGCTAGTGGAAGGTGGTCAATATGGAAGATAAACTACACATGGCTTGGAAAAACTAGAGCTAAACTCAACAGTGAAAAAGAGATTAAAAAAACTTGACTTCTAGGAAGCCTCCCCTAGAATATTTCATTAGGGCCTGTCCGTTTCATTTTAGAACAAGGGGTTGGAGGGGATTGAGGGGATAAAAAAAATCCCTCAATCTTCTTGGTTCTGAGATCAAACGAACAAGACCTCATCCATATAGTCAAGAAAAGACTATAAACCATGGCCATTAAATAGCATAATGACTGGGTTTTTTAAAAAAACAGAGAGACTAACTCGTGACCTATAGGCACACAACACTCCCCTTACCACATATATATTCTCTAGCCGTCTAGCTTTGAAAAAGAAAAACGATGAAACAAGTGAGCGAGTGAGGCCATGCATGTTTTAGGCTGTCTTTGGCACGACTCCCGTCTGACAGGCTCCGGCTTCTCCTTTTCCTGTGCGGAACTATGCTGTCCTGTACACATCCCTACAGGCAGGGGCGGAGGATACTGGCGGTGAAATTGGGCCTCGCCCCCCCCCTTCTAACAGAAATTCAATGACCATAAATTCTTAGCAGGTTGAACTGCATGCCTATTTAATTTTCATCAGGATTTGGTACTGCAAAGATCAATTTGGCCCCCTCTTATTCTTATGCCACGCTCCGCCACTGCATGCAGGGGCTCCGGCTCCTTCAGTCATTAGAGAGAGAGAGAGCCGGAGGAGCCACACTTGAGAGGCTCTGGCGGCTCCGCCACAGTACTGCTACAGTACCAGGCCGGAGCTCCACCGAAGAGGCCCTTAGCTTGTTTCCATGGAGGAAGGAGATCAGACAAGAAAAACATTTTTGGTGGTAATAAAAGAAACAATGTAAGCATTAATTGATTACAGTCATGTGGCCAAAAAAAGCTCAATAGCCGACAGAGGAGATAACAGTCAAGACAGCAGGTCCCTTCTGAGATCCATCGGAACACATGAATTTTACTGAACCTTTCTTGGATTAGTTTGCATCTAGGAAAGAATGATGCACTTCAAAATTTGGCATTAGATTAGAGAGTAAAGATGGAAAGGGATGTTTCATGAGAGGGCTTTGAACTGAGGTTCTTAAAGGTGCACTGTGAGCTCGAGACTAACCGAGGAAAAAAAAGGAAGGGAATGAGGACTATCATCAGAGGCTCAGAGCATATTTGTACTACCAGATGAGCTATAAATATATTCCTACTTTTTCGAATTTTTCGTGAAAAGATTTCGATGCCGTGCATCGAACGTGGTACACTGGATTTACATACGTTTTGGCAAGATTTTGTCCCAGCACGGCGATTCACCGCCCTTTCCATCTGAGAGGACGAAATTGGATGTCTCTTTGATCGGTCTCTTCGTGTCATCACATTATTCACCCCACTTGTAAAGGTGCCTGAGATTAACAGGTTGAGCTTTGCTCCTTGCCACAAGTTAGCATCGATCCCATGTTTCAGTGTTGCTTCCTTGGAGATGGCAAGTTCAATTATCAGTGTAAGGGTTTTTCTATTTCTATTCTTTTTTGTTTCTGGTGAGTAAGGGGATTGTTTATTTGATTGTTCGAATAAGCAAGGATTGTATCAAGCTTATTTACAATGGCAAAGGTTTACCCAGAGCTTGTTTGTTGGCAGAGAGTGTCATCCATGCATGCTTAATAAACCCAAATGAAAGGAGTGGTGAAAATGTTTGGGGTATTCAATAGCATAATATTTATGGTTGAGGACTTGAGGTAGAAGTTCAAGGACCAAGCTTGGTAGTACTTTGGTAGAGGGTTTTGTTCCCTTAATTATCAAATGAACACCCCATGGCATTATTTAAGAGAAATATAGATATCAAAGCTAAACGCAGAGGCCCCGACCTTTTGTAATCTAAAGAGATCAATTAGTTTAAAAAGATTGAGCTGCCGTTTCTCTGGTTGAGCAAAAGCTAAGGCAAAGGGTGTTTTTGGTCTTTGGAAGTTTGGGTACCGATGCCACCCATGGCGAAAGTGCCGGTCATTTTCTTGGGCTTTGGCTTCCTACAGTGCAGGAATTTCATATGTACAAGTTGCGCACTAACTTTCAACTGAATCACGCCATCTGTCTCGCAAGTCGTCCAAAATCACGCTGTTATTTTTTTCCAAGATATCGTCCAAAATCACGCTGTTTTTTCCAAGATATCGAACGTCACCAGCAAATAATGAAACAGTACGTACATATCTTCTGGCATAAAAAGTGGCGCAAGAAAGCACACCCGATTGACCATGATTTCGTGACTTCCGACAGTGTACCTTTCACAGAGCACCTAATGTTCAGAGTGTACTTTAAGACAAAAGGGAAAAACAGCGTCAAGTCAAGCAGCTCCACTAGCGAGCCATGAACCCCACCAATCATCAGTGCTGCAGCTGCGGATTTTTCTTCAGTGGCTGAACATTAGCCGTAGGAAGAGGTTGCAGCAGCAGCAGCAGCGCTGCTGCAGCTATTCCGAGCAGGCTTAGCGAATTTCCAGAATGAAAGAGCGCAATGTTCATCCTCAGGTAGGAGTAAGTCATACGCGAGGATCCCAGTGATTGCCGTTGGTATTTAGGTCAGCAATTTTTACTCGAGCATCATCTCGCAACAATTTACGGAATTCTCAGAAGCAATGTTAACTGGAATGCACAAAGATCCAACCAGTAGTATAAATCTATCGGATGCGCCAATATAATGCAGAACATAGTGCTGTCGCAACAGATGAACAGAATCAGAATCCGAACATGAAAAGGAACCAGCACAAATAGTCATCATCATGGGCACATAGAGAGAGAATGATCCCCAAGATCCATTGAGCACAACTCTATATGATTAACTTTGCAAGTTAAAAACTGCACCCTGGCCTCGCAATTAGCTGTCGGAAGGTTCGAACAAATGTATCGATGCCAACTAAAAGAATGGGTTGCAATCATGTCGACAACAAAACTTTGTGGACAGCGGCATCTGTGGCACCGCAAATTCAGGAATAGTATTCCTTCCCCACTCGATCGAAACAACAGAAAACAAAGGAATGTCGCAGTTAATGTGGTGCTCACCACAGCCCAATCATCTTCCACCAGAAGCCGCCCGCCCCAAGCCAGATGATGATGTTCACGACAGAGATAACAAACCCATAGCCCCACCATTGAGCCAATGGGACATACCCGGCGCCATAGAAGACAGGAGCAGAGCCAATGCCATAGTGGGTGGTGCCACCCATGAGGTTCGAGAGGAATGAAAGAACCATGGCAGCAAAGAGCGGCGGGGTGCCCAGGGCACTCGCCACTGACAGGAACGCGGCGAACATTGCTCCGATGTGTGCAGCACCACTGGCAAAGAAATAGTGAGAGTAGAAGTACAGCAGCACCAAGACACCGAATGAGGCTTGCCATGACATGCCAAGCCCTCCAACAAACTGAAACAAAAGCAATAAGGTCAATAAATGATAAATTAGCAGAAGTACTTAAAAAGAACCTACCAATCTATCTATATTGTAGATGTCAGAAAAAAATAACAAAACAATTAGTAATATCAGACCCCAATATAATTTAAACTGCATCATGTTACAATTACCAAACTAATGTCTTTCAATTTTTTATTTCCTATAGTTTGCATAGATATATCCATAAGCATATGAATTCAGCAGTATTAAGTTCAGACAAAACCAAGATAACCACTCCTGTGTCAAATCTAACAGTGTCAAACACAAGTTACACAAGGTTCTTATAGCATGATGACTACCCAGCCTACCCCTTCACAAACAAACAGCACAATAAATTGCTACTTGTTTCTGGCTAAGGGTAAAGAGATGCATACCCTTCATAACCTTTCTTTGCCCAAAGTAAATTTTCATTTTTTTGTGGAACTAGGTTAAAAATGAACAGTAAAGAAAGAAAAACACTAAATTTCTAGGCTCCAGATTGCTGGATCATGTTGTATTGCAGTAAAAAGCATCCATCATGCCCAACATCTCTTAAATAAGGTAATTTAGTTCGTAAAGCATGCTAATCATGAAGACCTAACAATGACGAGAAAATTCCTTATTTGACACTAGAAGTTGACATGGTTCCTTCTAAGGCCCTAAAAAATTCTCCCTTATATGGCACCAGGTCTACTTTGACATTTCCGTCCATTCTGACAATGATAACCTTCAAGTTCATGTCAGATTAGCTGGAGATGGTCTAAAATGCCCGTTTCCTCAAAGCCACACGGCCCTCAGCCTTCTCCCGTCACAAGCTCAAACGCCCCTTATCCTCTCTGTTGTTCTCTCCCCCATGTCCCTCTGTCCCAAAACCCTAGTCAGCAGGAGGGTTCATATCCAGTTGAGGTCGGCAGGGAAACATGCACAATGGATCACGTCACAGTGGCGGCCCAAGTGGCATGGGCGGCACTGGCCCGAGCAACCAGGGCAGCTGTGCCCCAAGCGCCATTGGGGGTGGCAGCCCGACTGACCAGAGATCCTGCAGCCTGAGCGCAATGGCCAAGCAGCCTGGGCTCCTGATTTACCGTGCCTGAGGCTTGGAGTTCATCTGCCCCAATCCTCTCAGTGAAACAAGCACAAATAACTTGGTTTTCTTAGGGCCTGTTTGTTTCCATGGACGGGAGTAGCGCATATACCGCAGCAGCTATGTCGTGGGGAAGCACTGATTCCCTCGCGTCACGGCGTCTCATGTTTCCTGTTGAAAACCCTACGTGATGCTGAAGGGCAGCCAGCAGAAGTGCATCAAACACAGGGCGTCTGGAGTGATTCTGAGCTTTTTACCGCCACAGATGCCGGATAGGACAAAACAAACAGGGCCTTAATCCTGCTCCCCTGTTTCTGTGCTCTGCAGCTTTGGAAGGGCATGTGATGGGGCTCTGTTTTCTTGTTCAGACAGAAGATCGTCTTTGGATTTTTATTTTATGATGGTTTATGTGACATGTCAAAAGTCTAGAAGTGAAAGGTGGGATGAAAGGATGACTCTGCGAAATGCCGAAATACAGTATAAACATACTTATTATGAAATATAATTAAAACTTGCACTATTTAAAAGATGTGAGCTGCTATTAAAGTGAATGTAAATAAGAAGCTGCACACCAGCTACTGAAAATGTGGCATGGACAATACCATGAAAAACTTACTGTTTTTTTAACAGAAAATACAGCAGCGCAGGCCCCCACTGTTAGAACCTTTTATATTAATAAAAAGAAGAAACTGTACAATAAAAGGGACCACAACTATGAACAAAGCTCCCAGAGGGAGCCTCAAGCCTGAGGAAGGCTAGAGAACCAAAGAGCTAAGCAAGAGAATCTATACAAAGAAGAAAAGCAACTCGTTTATCTTCACACATTCTGAGAGCTTGAAGTCTAGCCTCACAAAAAGAGGACATCCAAAATGTAAAAGAAGGCTGGCCTCCTCACAAAACTTACTGTTTCATTCTTTAAGAAAAAGAAGCATACTATTTTCTCATGAGATGATTACATTAAGCACATTTTTTTTCTCACCAATAGATAGGAAAACATGTATGAAATTAACATGTTGAACGATATTGGGAAAGAAATAGGATGAAAAATCCATGTATGATGTTAACATGTTGATAGATACTGAGAAAGAGATGCTTCATACTTTCATGATAAGCTTGATTTGATCAGTATAACTAAAACTACGCGTGGTTTTTTGAAATTGCTTGTTGCCTCACATATGTTACACTACAAATCCTGGTGCTGGGACTCCAATACTGGCACAAAGAGGGCTGAGGGACAAAAAGGTCTTTTCATCTAATCTTTTAACATGTTAACAGCCAACACTGATGGAAGTGTCAAATTAAGGCATAAAAGATAGACCCGGTATCATATAAGGGAGAAAAAGATTTTCAGGGCCATAAAGGAAGCATATCGGGGGGCTGAGGTGGTTCCATACGTTCTGGTCCCTCTGTGATCAGAAGTACGGATGCTAATTGGGTGGGATCTGTCAATCTGTGACGTTATGTCTTTGAACTCATTGTGTTTGTAATTTTGTTGCTTTAAGTAATAAAATTCAGGTTTCTCGTTGTGGGAAAAAAATAAAGGAAGCATGTCAATTTCCATTGTCAAATAAGGAATTTTCTCACGAATAAAGGAAAAATCTTAACCTTATAAATGCCAAGATCCAAGGCTCATGAGAGATGAGAGTTGTGTGAAGAAAAGAGAGTGTACCTTCACAACAGTCTCACTGAACCAAGAGATGAACCCGTATTTGTTGAGGTAGCCAGCCATTGCTATAAGTGCTGCAAACCATGTAAGCGTATCCCATGCCACAGACTCTGCCAAACACTCTTTCCATGTGACAACCCCTGTGATTAGGAGGACTCCTAGGCCAAGAATTGCTGCAGACACCGCATCCACATTCAGCATTCCTCCAAAGATCCAAAGACCAACCTGGTGGCATGCAGAGAAAGGGCATAATGTTCAGTGAAGAAAAGTGGATCCAATTGCTATTCAAGTTAGATGTGACAGGGCAATGAAAAAAAAACTGCATTCAGTGACAACGACTGTCAAGGAAATGAACATTACAAAGTCACAGGTCAGAGTTCAGTCGATTACTAAACCATTGATAACAAGAATCCTAACACCCCAAAGGCAATAAATGGTGCATCTATTGTATTCATAATAGAACACTATAAACTACTTATGAAAGATAGCTGATAATAATTTTAACCATCAGGATTCAAGTCATAAATAAAGAACACTAATAGCACAAGAAAAGTTGAAAGAATGCTAGTAAAGGCATAGTAATGGCAAAAGGTTAAATGTTGCCAGAAAATGGCAAGTATATGTATATGTATCATTAACTATATACCGTAAGCAGCAGCGTGCCGGCCATGATCTTCTCCTCCGTGCTCATGGGTCCCATCTTGGCGAGCCGCTCCTTGGCCAGGCGTGGCGCATCGGGGCTGGCCTTCACCTCCGGCGGGTAGATCACATACAGAATGAGCGGCACGAGCACGAGCGACAGCAGCCCCGGCACGATGGCGGCCTTGGCCCAGAGCGTCCAGCCGATCCCCTGGCCGATGGTGGCAGCCGTGAGGTTGGCCGAGAGCGGGTTGGCCGCCATGGCGGTGAGGAACATGGCCGACGAGACGACGGAGGTCTGGAAGCACGTGAGCATGAGCCAGGCCCCGAGCTTCCGCTCCGAGCCGTCGCCGGCGCGCGAGCCGCATGCCTCGCAGAGCGACTTGACGAGCGGCAGGAAGATGCCGCCCGCGCGCGCCGAGACGGAGGGGATGGCGGGGGCGAGGAGCGCCTCGGCGAAGACGAGCGAGTAGCCGAGGCCGAGCGAGGAGGAGCCGAAGGCGGCGACGAAGGCGTAGGCGACGCGGGAGCCGAGGCCGGTCTTGATGAACCCGCGCGCGAAGAAGAAGGCGAGCGCGATGAGCCAGGGGATCGGGTCGCCGAAGGCCGAGAAGGCCGCGGCGAAGGTGAGCGTCTTGGTGAGCACGGCGGCGCCGAGGCCGAGCAGGGCCACCGCGCCCAGGGGCAGCGGCTGGGTGATGATGCCGACGATGGTGGAGAGGAAGATGGCGAGGAGCTGCCACGCGTTGCGGGGCACGCCGGCGGGGGCCGGGACGAACCAGATGAGGACGCCGATCGCGAGGGAGGCGAGGAGCGGCTGGATGGCTGCGCCCTGCAGCGCGGGCTTCTTCGGCGGGGCGGCCGGCGCCGGGGCCGGAGCCGGAGCCGGAGCCGGGACCGGGTCCGGGGCTGGGGCGGCCGCGGCGGAGGCGGAGGCGGAGACGGGGGTGAGGCCGCGGCGGGAGGCTGCGGATGCGGATGCGGATGCGGCGGGGTGTGGGGCCAGCGAGGGCTTGGAGGGGAGGGAGTGGGAGAGGGAGATGGGCTTAGAGGAGGAGGAGGAGGAGGAGCGGCGGCGGAGGGGGAAGGAGAGGGACGGGAGGCTGGGGCGGGCGCCAACGCTGCCGAGGTGGTGGCAGGTGAGCGGCGAGGCCGCGGTGGAGGACGCCATGGCGGCGGTCTCTGAGGCAAGGGGTGGTGGGACTGGGAACGGAAGGTGGTGGGTGGTGGGACTGAGGGTGGGGTTTAAGTGGATGGACGGTGGAGATGGCGTTGGGCGCCCGGAGTTTTGGTCGTATCGGAATCGGAAACTGGTCTTCGTGGACCCAGCGTTGGTACACCGGTGATCAGTGGTAGTCACCGCGTTCGGCTGGTCGACTGTTGGCTTGTTTCAGCTTATTCCTCCTCATAGAATACTATTTAATTATTCTAAACCAGCCAAAATCTATTGCGCAGCACGTGTTCATGCTGCGGGAGATTGCGTCTAAGTTTCGATAGAGAAAAGAGAGATCTTTTCAAATTTTCTTCAAGTTTTCACATCACATGCAAAGTTTGTAACTAGTGACGATTGAGGAAGCCAAGAGGCGAGCCACAGGGCACCGGCTAACACTCTAGTGGTTATAAGTACAAATAAAGTAATCTACATATATTATGAAATGTTGAGACTATTATTCACACAGTACAAATTATCACTACTTGTGGTTTGTAAAGAAACTTTTTTTTTCCATCATGTCTCACCTTTATTTCCTCTCCCTCTTCTTTTTTTTAGCATGGACCACCTTCTCTCTCCCCAAACATATGTAGCTTCTGCAAGCCACTATGATAAATGTAGAGCATCTACTTTTTTTATCCGATCCTACGTGACACTTGGGGCTACTACTAAAAAGTAGCGTTGGAGAAGCCCTCATTCGCCCGTCCCCAACGTGACACGATGGACGTTAGCCTCATGCTCCACGTAGTTTGCAAACCTCTGTCTCGTGTGAAAGAGTGTGGTTTGGCAAGCAAAGTAGCCACCAGCAAAAGCAACAAGTGCTTGGTTTTCAAAAAAAGCAACAAGTGCTTCACCTGACAAAAGTTTTAAGCACCTACTCTAGTATGCGTTGTGGCACATACTATCGTGACCTAGCACACATTTTCACAGAACAGAGACATAGAGGACTGAAAAAAATTTGACAAAGAAAGGATGCTCTTTTCTACGAGAACGTTGCCCCTGTGCTACAAGAGAAATAGCATCTCGTGCTCCCTGTCTACGTGTCCAGCAACTTTTCTCCGAAACCAATACTAGCGTTTGCCCGCATTGCTGCAGCCCTAAGTATTACAATGAGGAGCAAAGTTCTAGTGCTGTGTTAGTACTTGATCCTTTCCAAAATTTCCACCTTAGCTTAATTAGAGCTTGTTTGTGTACCACCATAAAATTTAGTACAATCCATTTAAACATGTATACTAGATTTTAGTCCATGTGTCTCAACTGATAACTAGTTGGACCCGTGGCTAGTCGTTGTATCCAAACAGAACTAGACTAAACTTTAGTTATCTAACAAATAATTCTACAATTAGTACTCTAACAGTTAGTTCTAAGTAATCCAAACATACCCTTATCTATCATTTTCCCTTTTCTCATTTGATTTGTTGCTACATTAGATTTTTATCCTACGTAATAGTCTATTTAGTTATATATATAAGATATAAGAGTCTGTTTGAATTAACTAAGAGTAACTGCTAGTAGTGCTAGCCTAGACACAAGACATTCATCAACCTTCCAACTACCGTCTACACGGTCTAGACCACGACTAGATGTGTCTAGATTTATTAAATGGTTTTTGTACTACAGCAAATCAAATTTCATACAAATATTACAAAAACTGCCGATGTAATTGGCTAATTCTACTCTAGCGTCTAAAGCAATGTTAAGTTGATAACATATGAACAACTTAGATTTGAAAGACAATAGTTTTTCAATTCTTAGTTTGTCACATATTTGATCTGATACCTCTCTGACATAGATACAAATACATTTTATAATTTATATAAACCAAAGAAGCAAAGAAAATCACATATTCTGATCGTAACATAGCTCTCACTTCTCAATTCTCACTATAATATGATAGATAATTGATATGCTATGATAATTAACTAAATTTTAAGATATATCATTATCGGATCAAATACTTAGCAAAATTATAATTTTGTTGGGAGGGAGTAGCTAGCTAATAGTTCACAGCTAATATTAGCTGGCTACCTATTGGTTAGGTGCTATTTGGATCCCCTAGCTAAAATATGGATGCATGGGTGGTTTTGTCTGTAATGCCTTTCTTTTTCTATTTGCTATTGGTAGGGCACGTTCATAGATATAGATGGGAGGGCAAAAGTGTCTTTTGAAATCTATTAGTCAACTTTGTGATAGCTAACAGGGGTGAAGCTATACTCAAATCAGTGGACGTGGCCGCATCCATGCAAAAAAATAAAAATCAATGTTAAGAGCTAAATTTTCACCATATTTGCACTCCCGCGTTACAAAACCTTGCACCCACAATGTAAGGGCACCCCTTAAATTTACTCTAGCTCCATCCTTAATAGCTAATGAGATAGTTGTTAGCTAGTTGTATAGCTAACAATTAGCTAGATTCCTTTTAATCGAGATCCAGTTATTTGTTTTAGCAACTAACTATTAGCTAGTTGGATCAAACTAGGACTTAAATTTTAAAGACAGATACGACAAATAAGAAGCAACCTCTCTGTACAGTACACCAAAGTAACAAAAAGCATAGGAATTAATGGCGACCAAATGAGTTTGTTAGGTACCTATTCTAAATTTTGGAATTGGCCTAAGCTGCTTGCTTCTTTAACCATTTGTGACGATGTTAGCATTGAAGTGGATTTGAAAGCAGCTTCAAATTGGAAAATGAAATCATGTTCATATCGTTTTCAAGTCCACCTCCCACATGGAAGGAATAGCAGTATTATATTAGGTTTTACGACTTACACAATGTTGGACGACTCCAATCTCCAGGGGATCCAACTATCCCAATCAGGTTCAATTTATATGTACAGCATGTCCCTTTCTTATTAGAGAAACAAAAACATTGTTACAATGGGAATGAAAACAACAGATAAAAGTTTAGAAAACAGCAACACCAAGGGATGACCTTCATGAAAGGTAACCGGTCCTCCATCGGTTCCACCAACAGCTCCACAACTTCTCTAACCAAATGCCAACATGGGGGTGCAGCTCCATAGGTGAAGTATTTCCAGCTATCTAGAGATGCAGATAGGAGCATGAACTAAAAATACCATCGTCTCATAGATCCCTCTCGCTCTAGTGGCCCTAGCGTGGCCATGGTCAGATTTGCCCCTGCGGCGCGTTGGTGTGGGCATGGCCGGTGTAGGGGGCAAAGGTAGGGCGACGACACATGGTAGTGCGAGAAGGGGTGGAGGCAAGGCAGAGGTGGCACGCCGGTGCGGGGAGGAGCGGAGGAGGAGGGGGGCACAAGGACAACAACAGGAGTATTCTTAGGTATTCATTGAAATACCCATATTTCCTTGTAACATAATGAATATGTATTATGTATACTAAAATATCTAGTTGTAATAGTGTTTTTGGTTCTTGTTGTTTTAGAGGAAATTGTTCTTTAAATACCCTGGTGTCGAATCCTAGCTCCGCCATTGGTGGGGCAGAGGACAATAGGAGGAGGAAGATGATAACATTAAAATAGAGAGGAAGGAAATAAATAGGAAGAAAATGGAAAAGACATGAAAAAAGAGAGAAGAGTACTATAGATATTTCATCATTTCTATCTACCATGAGATGTTGTTTTACCAAATATTTTCCTAAGATAGTTTTGGCTCCACTAGTGGAGCTTCTTGTGGAGTGAAGCCCAAAAAACTGCTCAACCATAAAGTAGAGCTGTACTAATAAATGGGGTCATAGATTGTTTTGGTGATCTGATTACCTTTCTATTGTTGATATATATAGTTATTTGGAACTCACATAAATATGTTGCGATTGTTTTATTGCTCATTGTCGTGCATGAAAAAAATAAGGAAAACGACACTAACCTCACAGACGCCATGCTCATATACGATCGTGGATTATAAGCTGGAACAATATTTTTCTCTCACACCAAATCAGCCAGCAGTAAATAATCCACAATCGTTTACGGCCCGCCGAACAAGCTAGCACTTTACTTTATATTGATTTCATGATTAGGTTATAGGTTTCACCCAATGTAGTGCCAAAAAAGTCATGCACTTAACTCGTGATGCAATCAATAGAAAGTAAAGAACAAAATGATAATTTAAATAAATTAGAGTTGTGATTACAAGTAATGAAACACTCCAAACATGAATAAATAATATCCAAATAACTCCAGATAGCAACACGCAGATAACGTTTTCTTAAAAATGGTACTAGTTTCTTTTTTATTCTCAATATGAATAGTTATGAGCTTCTAGAGATTAAACCATACCTTTTTTTTTAGAAAATAGAAAACCATATTTGAACCAGCTAGAGGACCAATAAATTGCCCAGTTTTAATAGTTGGCCGGTGTCTGATACCTACTTTCATAGTTTAGGTTGAAAATCAAATTGTCGTGTAAGTGGAAGTCTAAAAAAAATTCTTTTACCCTAAAATCTAACGTAGCAACAAATGAAATGAGGAAAGAGAAGCTAGTGCCTCGTGGAAGAAATGAGCTAATAAACTCAAAATCCAAGGCACGAGAGATTACAACAAAACATGCATTCGAGTAAAACTAAGTAATGCATCGTCAATGCATGGTCCCGTTCGCTTCGCTGAAAAAATAAGCTAAAACACTATTCCGGCTGATTTGTGGTGAGAGAAAACACTGTCCCGGCTGAAAAATAAGGTGAAAAGTACAGATTATAAGAGAAGCGAACATGACTTATATGTTCTTGCATTTCTCTATTGGTCAAGATGAAATTAACAGTAATTTGAGTTACACGATGTTGGAAGAATAACAGTATTTTGTCGGGCTTTCGACTTACACGATGTTGGAGGACACCTGAGTACAACTATCGCAATCATCAGGTTTATTATACGACGTACACAATGTCATCATTTTAAAGATCTATGATCAATACATCACCAGAAAATCTAGCATGCATCATGCCCCTTTCTTTGTTATTAGAAAAAAGAATGAAGGAATTTTGATTGG